CTGTATGTCTTCAGTGGGCTTTAGGGGTACAAGTGTTACCACTAACACTAATGATAGATTGAGCCTTACAGAGTGGTTTAATCTCTTCTTGAATATTTTTTGCTTCTCTGAGAAATACAGTTTCACAAGATGCTTCCTAAAAAGAAGGATTCTGTGGCTTTGATGGTGTGGCGCATACGAGGCCTTTGGCGGTGCCCAGGCAGGAATAGCTACAAAATCCATTGCTCAGTGCACTTGTTTATTGTGTTAGTGTCACCTAAGGTGTTTGACCCGAGTTGTTGTTATTGTTGTAAAGTGCTGTTGAGTCAGTTCCGACCCATAGCATTTCCCAGGAGCGGCTGGTGAGCTTGAACCACCAACCTTGTGGGGCAAACCCACCTTGCAGTCCCACACATTAACTCACAGTGCCACACTAGTAGCACTTTTTAATAGCTTGTAAATTACCCTGGTAGTGATCTTGATGGTGGTGTTTGTGTGCTCTCAAGTCGGTTCCAACTCATTGCAGCACTGTATAGGGTTTCCAAGGAGCAGCTGATGAACTTGAACCACTGACCTTGTGATTCAAACCGGACTCGCAGTCCAGGGCATTAACCCACAGTGTAGTATCCTGTAAATATTCTTGCTGTTGTTAAGTGTCATCAAGTCAGTTCTGACTCACAATGACCCTGAGTTTCCCGGGAGTAACTGGTGGCCTTGAACCACTGACTTTGCAGATCAAACTGACCTTTGAGGCTGAGTGCTTTCTCCTACAGCGCCACACCAGGACTCCAATGTATTCTTAAAGCGCAGTTACCATTATTAGCCTCTGAACAGAGCAACTGAAATAAGCAAAGTCATTAGAAAACTGTATGGCTTACATGCAGAAATACTTATTTTTAGGATATTAAGATTTGAGGATTTAGGAGGTGACATGTTTCTATGTCTTTAACTCAAATTTACAAATGATGCAGCCCCAATATAAGTAGGTGTGTGGGTATATGTATATATGTTGTTGCTGTTGTTTTTAAGTGCTGTTGAGTTGGTACAGACTCATAGCAACCTTGTACAGTTTCGGAGGCTGTAAATCTTCTGGGACGTACAACCCCTCAACGTTCTTCCTCAGAGCAGCAGGTAGGATTGAACTGGTAAACTTGTGGCTCACAGCCCCTGTTTATCTTGTTGAATCCCCATGCTCCCCATATGTGTGTTGTTGTTAAGTGATGTCGAGTTGGTTCGGGTTTGTGTAAGGCTTTAAATCTTTACAGGATCAAAAAGCCTCATCTTCCCCAATGTAATGGCTACTGGACTCGAACTGCTGACCTTGTGGTTTGCAGTTCAGTGTTTATCCTGGAAAGCCACCAGGACTCATCTATGAAGTCAAATTCCTACCAGAATCTCAGGACAAGTACAAGGAAGACTGGAGAGACTCCCTCTCGGTTGTGTATCTGTGTTTATACATGGATGTACATGTGCACACACACACACTCATATGGTGAGAGAGCGTGCTCAAATGGGGCAAAATGTTGACCAGTGCTGGAGCAGTGGAGGGTATAAGGTGTGTCATTTCTGCCTTATTTCTCTAGGTTTGAAGACTTTTTAGATAAAAGGAAAGAAGGCTATCAACACGGACATAGGTGCTTTGCTTATTGTGAGTGGTCAAGACAGACCACATAGAGAGTCTTAATAAAGGTTCTTAAGGTCCAAGAAGATGTGAAGGGGAGGCTGAAGTTCTTGATGAGGGACAGATACACACCTAAGCAAAGTCTCTCCAGTCCTTCTTGTCCTTGTCCTGTGGTTCTGGTAGAGGTCTTACTCCACATTGTGGCATCCCTACCTCGGCTCCCAGTTCTGCCAATGGAAACCTTGCTCACAAGAACTCTTTGGTGTTGCTGAGGTCTGGGTCTTGCCCAGTGAACACAAACCTCACCAGAGCACAGAGAAGCCAACTTAAAATGGTGGTTCACAGCCACATACATCGGAAAGCCGTCTTCTGGCTCTAGGACCTTTTTCTCATAGACTCTCAGACCTGAGACTGAGCCCCCACTGCTTGCTTGAACGGAGTCAACGGTTTGAAATTTACCATTGTCAGACCTTGCCTGACCTGATTTCCCTAGACGGGCTATTAATCCCCAACTTGCAGCTGGCTCTGGGAAGCAGAGTGTAATAGATTGTATGTCATCTCGTGTGTTTCTAGGGCACGTAGCCTTGTCTGAAGAACTTCTCAAGGACTGGAGTGAAGGTTGTAGCCCGAGTAGCTATGGAAGGGACTCCCAGACTTCTTATTCTGCCTTGCGATATCATTGGCTGAAACGATGTTGCAAACATCGCTGTTGCCAGAAGGCAGAGAGAAGAGTTATTTCACATCCTGCAATTTCTGAGATGCTTTTAATATTGTAAAATTTTTACTAATATGATTTTTCTGCAGTTCTTACATCTTTGAAACACCGTGACTTTTCTTTGGAGAGCTTTCCTCATTCTTTATCTTTCTGCCCCTCTTTATTGTTTAAGCTATACAGTAGGTTATAAAACTTGTGAAATTGTGATAGCTCATATGACTGATAAAGGTTTTTGTTTGTTTTTTTTTAGAGAATTTTAATTTTATTTATTGGATTCATCAGCTATGGTGGGCATAGTATTAATAGTAATAGCAATGACGTTACTCTGCTGGTCTTCATTTTCTTGTGTCATTAATACAGCTACCTGGGTTGAGAACCTTCATTTCCCACTTTATAGATGAGGAAATTGAGAAAGCGAAGCAGATATATTGCAAGAGTATGTCACTCAAAATTGTAGACTGATGAACTAAAACGATATTCAGAAGACTCATAAATGTTATAAAAGTATACATTGTTAAAAGAAAAAAAAGGAAAATGAATATTAAAATACAAATCTGTCACCATGCTGTGACTTGACAATGACTAATAAAGGTTTTAATGGTGATAATGCCTTAGTGCCTATTGCTTTTATTCAGCCCTTCTTAGGACCCAGTGGAATTGTTACAGGTCTCGGGATTGTCTATCAGTTGTTATGTTATAAATACGTATAGACCATTAATCCATGACTTGGCCTGCTTTGCTTATGATAAATATAGAACCTTAAGGATACATTTTATATAATTTTATTTGCTAATAACATTGTATGTATTGACTAGGCTCCTGCTGTGGTACTATCGGTTGGATCAGTGGTCGGCAGATGAAACCGACTAGCTAGTCCTCTGAAACCCGGTATGTTCAGGTTTGCTAGGAGTCAGAACCCACTCGATGGCACTGAACACAACTGCAACATCTCACATATTAAGGCATGAAAACTACAACTGAACTGTCAGTAAATCGTAGATTCTCATCAATAAACACATACAGTTTATCTTTTTTATGGGAAGGGAGTTCTGGTAATGCTGTGGACTAAGCACTGGTCTGCTGAGGGCAAGGTTGGCAGTTCAAACACACCAGTCACTCCTCTAGAAAAAGAGGAGGCTGTGTGCTCCAATACTCATTTACAGTTTCTGAAGCTCTAACGGAGCAGTTTTACCCTGTCCTACGTCAGTGGTTCAAGCTCACCAGCTGCTCCTTGGAAACCCTGTACAGAGTCGCTATGGGTTGGAATCAACTAGACAGCACTTAACAACAAATAAACCCAGTGGTGATGGGTTTATTTTATAATGGAAGCTTCATATTACTCTCAGAAATGTTTACAAAATATGCCAACACAAGATGCAATTATCAAACGTGGCATCTTTATTGTGATGTGCATTTTCCAAAGTGTCCTCACCTACAGTGCAAGTAAGGATGTCTGTACAAATGAAACATTAATCTGTTGGCAGATGCTCTTCTTAAATGAGTCTAATCGGTGGAACTACAATGTACCTAATATTGTTTTGTTTTTCATTACTATTCTTGCACTAATTTTTTTTTTTTTTTTAATTTTATCTTGTGTATTTGGGACATGTGTAAAGGTTTTCACATGTGATGATCAAAAGCACTTTATTACTGGGTATTTAAAAGCTTTCATTGTGAATTGAGTGATAGTTTACCGAGAGGATCATCAGTTTTGTATTCAACCAATCATATTGTGTTTCAGTATAATGATTACAATCCCTAGTGGATACTTTTAGATGGGTTTGATGATAATAGTAAAATTTAAAACGAATTAACTTTTATGTCACCTTCCCCCAAAACAACATAAAGGTAGGAATGAAGAACTTGTTAGTAATTCTAGGAGATGGAAATTTTATTAGCAAATGCTTCCAATATACAGACATGGTGGTGTGAACCATTCAGTTTGTCTCCTTAATTTCACAGAGTAATGCAATCTCTGCATTGTGACTTGTGAAACACATGATCACAAATGTTGAATGAGTGGATTGTTGTTGTTTTAACCCTTGAAACAGCGTGCACTATTCAAATGGCATTTGTCTGATTAGGGCAAATACTAAAGAAATACAAAGTGTCCATTTCTGCTCAGTCTGCTAAGCTTCTTGGGGGTGGGAGGGTGGGCTTGTCTCAGTTTTAGGTCTACACCTGTGACCATGCTTTGGATGATCTCTATGGAAACTCAGCACTTTGTGTGCATATCATCTGTATCCCGAAGAATGGGCTGTGTGTCCCTGTGGCTAAGAGCTTGAGTGGAAATCTCTGGAGTGTGGTTCAGCAGAGCAGGGGCGGGCAGGGCTTTCTGAATCCTCAGCAGCATCTAAATAGTCTGTCCTCTTGGAAAACATCACCAGCAGAGCTGGCCCTGGGCTTCAGCCACAAAGTTGCCAATGTGTGTGGCCACGGAGCTCCTTTACTGAGGAAGTCAATGGGCTATGGGCAAGAAGAGGAGGTGATTTCCATTCTTCTGAGCATAAAAGTAGATTTTCTGAATTAATTGATTGTGTCCTTATTGAAGGATGTTTCCTACTCATGTTCCAACCCGAGCACTTCATTTTAACATTTTCTCTCCCAAGTTCTTTACAGAGAGTTTCTTATCTTAGAGTGGCTAATTTGGCATTGATTGGATATTTCCTCTGCTTTTTCTCCCAGCAGGTAAACCACCTTACAACAGCTTCTACGTGTATTGCAAAGGCCCTTGTCAAGCAGTGCAGCCAGGAAAACTCCGAGTCCAGTGCAGCACCTGCAAACAAACAACGCTCATCTTGGCCCAGGTAAGGGACTGCGGTATTAGCCTGAGGCTGCAGGAGAGAAGGAACATGAATGATCAGAGTTGCCTTTGGATGCTTCTAATTCTCTTTCTGGACAGCAAGGTCCTTTTGAATCTTAAGGTCGGTGGTTCAAGCTCACCAGCCAGTCCTCAGAAACCCTATACAGGGTTGCTGTGAGTCAGAAACCAACTCCACGGCGCTTAACAACAACAACAACAATTATCTTTCATTTGTGATGTGGTGCTATAGGATAAACACAGGACTGGAAAGTGTGTTTGAATCAAAAGGTCAGTGGTTGGAATCCCTATGCCTGGTCTATATGAGTTGACTATGAATCAGAACCAACTCATGAGTACTTAGCAATAACAAGTTATCTTGCAAACTTCACTGGGCATGAAAGATGGTTAATGACATCTGAAAGTCTATCTTGAATGACGACGATGCTATCTTGATTTTTTCCACTCTGTTTTAATTCAGGCTGTACAGGGTCATTCACCATCTCTTTAATCCAGACCTATTGACAAAAAAGTGTAGATTCTGCTTTTATAACAAAGTGGTCCATGTTTAATGAAGGTCTTTATTATAAGGGACCGTGAAGGAGCCTTCTAGAATACTGGAAATGTCCAGTGTCTTGACCTATAAGGTGGTCACTAAATTTGCATATTTATGGTCAAGTTCATTGGATTATTTGTATATTTATGTATAACTCATTGGGCTCTTCACCTAATAAGACTGACACCCATTATTACAGTTTTCTCCCATTCTATCCAAGACCTTCTCATATGATCCCTTTCAGTGTGGTTGGTAGTCATAACCAGGCACCATCGAGTTCCTCTGCTCTCAGGATCTTTGCTGAATATAAAGCTGCAGATTTGCTCTCTAACATTCACTCAATTCACAATAAAAACTTTAAACCAAACATTGATACTATAAAGGTTGCTGTGGAGTCCTAGTGAGGTTCTATGGGCTAATGCATCAGACTGCAAAGTTGTTTGAACTGCAAAGTCGGTGGTTCAAGCTCACCAGCTGCTCCTTGGAAGCCCTATACAGTGTCGCTATGGGTCTGAATCGACTTGACGACAATTAACAACAACATGGAGTCCTGGTATGGCGCTGTGGGTTAATGCGCTAGATTGAAAAGTTGGTTTGAACCACAAGGTCAGAGGTTCAAGCTCACCAGCTGCTCCTTGGAAACCCTATACAGGGCCACTATGTGTAAGAAGCAACTCGATGGCACTTAAAAATAATAACACATACAAGTTATACTTCAATAGGAAAAAGTGAAAATACCATGCTTACACCATGCACTTCCAACTAGGTCAGCAAACTCTACAGCTCAGGGTTCTGATTCTGTGGTGTCCACGAGCTAAGAGATTGTTTTGCACTTTTAAATGGTTGGGGGTGGGTGGGTGGAATATTAAAAGAAGCAAATTGCATGACCCATGTAATGTATAACAAATTAAAAAAATAAAAAACATTTCTCAGGACACAACCCACCTGTTTCTCTAGGAAATGCCTTCCATGTTGTTAGGCAGAGGTGAGTGGGGACTGCAATGCAGATCAGTGGCATACCAGACCTGAGATATTTGCTTCCTGCTGCTTTAGAGGAAAAATTTGTACCTCAGGTTTTAAACATGGAGAGTCTTTGCTTGTAGGCTCAATGTGGTGGTTGGGGAGGATTTGTCTGCATTCAACAGGGCTGAGCATGTGAATAGGGCAGGGAGGACATGCGGCAAGGAGGCATAGAGGACATCCTGTATTGGTTATTCGTTGTTGGGGGACATCAGGTCAGTTGTGACTCACAGTGACCCCATGTACAGAGGGAAGCACTGTCTGGTTCTGCACCATCCTCGTGGTCATTGCTGTGTTTGAAGACACTCTTCCTCTTAACTGCTGACCATCTACTTTGCATGGTGCCCTTCTCCATGCTCTCAACCCTCTTGAAGCGAAGTCTTTCCCACATTGCTTCTAAGAAGCATTCTGGCTGTGTTTCCAACAACATGACAATGAAACTAATGGAAACAAGAGATGGGTGTAAATGTGGTGTGTTGTGATTTGAATACATCTCATAAGACGGGACTACTTGCACGATGTATTTGAATTATGACACACCGTACTTTCGACCTTTTTTTTTTGTTTTTTTTTGCTATTTTCATTCTTTGATGCATTTTATCATTCATAATATGTTGCAGTGCATACGATACTGATGTTAGCATTCTCAGATGTTCAAAGATCAAATTGATAAAGATACTGATGAATAAGGAAAGCCAAAACAACACCGACATACTGTATTCAACTAATATTAGAATTCACTGGTGACAGAGTTGTCAGGATAGAACCCCATTATAAGTTAGGGACCACCCAATGTACTTCGTGGTAGTCAGTGTCTGATGTCTAGGTAAATACCCCTGTAATCACGTGGGAATTCCAGTGATGGACCAGAGTGTTTACATTTCATTCTGCAGGCTGTAAGGGGGGTGAAGACAAACTCCAAGACACAATGGTGATCTGAAAAATGTCTGGAGTACTTAGTGATGTGACACCATGTCCCCAGGTTTGAGGTTGGGTACAGCTTAAAGGCAAGGAGGCCAATTAAGAAAGCATCATATGATTGATAGGTGAGGCATTGAGGGCCTGCATTGGGGGGTTGCCCATAGAATGGAAATATGGAGGTTGTGAGAAAGGAACAATCAAGGATTCATTGTTTCAAGACAGGAAAGCAGGGCAGAAGTATTGATATATGTATTCTTTACTGGAAAATCTATCCAGACTTCAGCTCTTTTTGTTGTTGTTATCAGGTGCCATCGAGTCGGAACCGACTCCTAGCGACCCCATGCACAGCAGAACGAAACAATGTCCTATCCTAGGCCAACCTCACACCTCTGCCACACTTGAGTCCATCAATGATGTCACCTGGCCAATCCATCTCGTTAGGGGTCTTCCTCTTTTTCTCTGACCCTCCACCTTACCCAGCATGACATCCTTCTCCAGTGACTGTTTCCTCCGGACAATATGTCCAAAGTATGAGAGACGAAGCTTAGCCATCCTGGCCTCCAAGGAGCACTCTGGCTGCACTTCTTCCAAAACAGATATATTGGTTCTTTTGGCAGTCCATGGCACTTTCAGTATTCTCCTTCAACACTACAACTCAAAGGCATCAATTCTTCTATGATCTTCCTTATTCACTGTCCAGCTTTCCGCATACATATGAGGCTATTGAAAACACCATGGCCTGGGTCAGGCGCACCTTAGTCTTCAAGCTGACATCTCTGCTCTTCAATACTTTAAAAAGTTCCTGTGCAGCAGATTTGCCCAGTGCAATACATCGTCTGATCTCTTGACTGCTACTTCCGCGAGTGTTGATAGTTGATCCAAAAAGAATGAAGTCCTTGACAACTTCAATCTTTTCTCCATTGATGAGAATGTTGTCCATTGGTCCAGTGGTGAGGATTTTTGTTTTCTTGACATTGAGATGTAATCCATATCAAAGGATGTGCTCTTTGATCTTCATAAGAAAATGTTTCAAGTCCTCTTCACTTTCAGCAAGCAAGGTTGTATCATCTGCATATCGCAGGTTGTTAATGAGTCTTCCTCCAATCCTGACGTCACGTTTTTCTTCATAGAACCCAGCTTCTCGTATTATTTGCTTAGCTTACAGGTTGAATAAGTATGGCAAAAGAATACAACCCTGTCTCACACCTTTCCCAATTTTAAAACATTCAGTGTTCCCATGTTCTGTTTGAACAATTGCTTCTTGGTCTAGGTACAGATTTCTCAGAAGTACAATTAATTGTTCTGGAATACTCATACTTCTCAATGTTGTCCATAGCTTGTCATGATCCACACAATCGAAAGCCTTTGCATAGTCAATAAAGCATAGGTAAACATCCTTCTGGTATTCTCTGCTTTCAGCCAAGATCTGTCGGATATCAGCAATATCTCTCATTCCACAGCCTCTTCTGAATCCAGCTTGAACCTCTGGAAGTTCTCTGTCAATGTATGATTGTAGCTGTTTCTGTATTACCTTTAGCAAAACTTTGCTCGCTTGAGATATCAAAGAGATTGTCCGATGATTTCCGCATTCTGTTGGGTCACCTCTCTTTGGAATGGGCATAAATATTGATCTCTTCCAATCAGTTGGCCAGATAGTTGTCTTCCAAATATGTTGGCAGAGATGAGTGAGTGCCTCCTGTGCTGCCTCACTTTCCTGAAAGATTTCAATTTTTATTCCATCAATTCCTGGTGCCTTGTTCTTTGCCACTTCTTTCAATGCACTTTGGACTTCCTCTCTGAGTATCATTGGCTTTTGTTCATATGGTATCTCTTGAAATGGTTGTACATTAACCATTTCCTTTTGGTACAATTTCAGCTCTTTTTAGAGCAGTGAAAACACCCCACCACATGCAACAAGAGGCTGGTATTATTTCCATCTCAAAATATAACTGTGTGATGCAGCTAAGTCACCCTGCTGTCCCGGACCAGCCCACCCCAATGAGGAAAGAACCATCATTGCTCCCCTCTGGCAGCTCAGAGGCTGCTGCCCACAATCACCTGGACTTTGTCAGTAACAGGGAGCGCTCCACCTTTATGGACCTGAATCAAATGGCTACTCCACAATACCTGCATGTCTTTGACCCCTGTGCTACCTGAGCCATCTGGTGTCTCCTCTTTCTTAACAGTTCACATCACCCACGCCGTCATCTCACACATCATTGACTTCCTTGTTCCATGTTCAGTACAGCGGTTCCTTCATGGTCCACCTTCCATTCATCTAAAAGACTCACAAAAGCAAAACTTGTCAAGGTGGGTCCCTGGTTTTTTTTCAGCACTCAACACCATGCCTGGCAGATGGCAGGCCACACAGCTCAGAATGTTGAGGGAATGACATCTGTATTTAAACTCTCGCACATCGATTCAGTAGATCCATGTGGTTTAGAAATTCTGTCTGGTGTTGCGTAACCCTAATACTCATAACTATTTTGTTACAATTTCTTGATTTCATTCCTTACATTTGTATTCTTGTATTTGTATTTTCCTCTAACTCTCATGACAGTCGTGCTAAGTCGATTTCATTATCCAATGTTTCTAACAGAAATCTCCATGAGATTCAGGGAATCTGAATCCAGAGTTACACAGTTCATAGACGAGGGAGCCATAAGTGAAAAATCTCTGTATTTCTCTAAAGCCTTAACTTTTTCCAGGGCATATTACATGCTGTACTAATCTGATAATCAATGGTCTATTATCTACCTACCTTCTTTGTACTAAAAATACCATTCTAAAAAGTATCCTTGGGAAAAAAATAGGATTAAGAGTTTAGGTAAAAGAGAATCAAAGATGATTTAAAGATAATTTATCTAATCCAGACTTTTAATGCAGTTACTAGATGCAGCAAAGCAGCTTATAGTAGGTGAGAAGAGCAGGTATTTTTATTTCTCATTAATAACATGTGCATACCCAATAGTACTCAGCAAATCTCTCTGGGGAGAAGCTGACTTATCACCACTGTTGATTGGTTGCAAGTGAGGGCTCAGTAATGCAGGCTGCATGCTGAATTTAGCCAAGAAGAAATGATTTTGATGTGAAAACCAAGGCAAAGCTTAGATTTTATTTTCCAGATCTTTATAAAGATCTGCAACGTATCCAACTTTCTCTGGTCAAGGGGAAAAAATAATAAAAGCAATTGGGAGGGAGAGAAAGACATAGGACCTGGTGTGAGTGAGCAGTTGTAAGCATAGCAGTGTGGTGTGGCTTTTGTAAGCAGCTTTTTAGAAGCTTAGAGGGAAATTGCAGCGCCCTCCACCTCCCAGGCTGTCTTTGACAGCATCATTGACGCTGTCTCTTGCTTCAGAAACCAGCTGTAGTCGCTGCAGCAAACACCAGGCATCCCATAGGTCTTAATTACAGCCTTCTCAATTTCTGTGTGGGGTCTTAACTTTACGATCCCAATATTTCCTCACCTTTGTTTGAAGTTTACACGTGATGCTAGTAGATTGAATGTTTAAAGTAGTAGTATTTGTTGTTGTGGGTGTTGTTGGAATCAGTTCTCTCCTCTGCCTTTCTCACCATTCTTTGAGTCCATTGTTGCCAACACTGTTAATCCATCTTGTTGAAGACCGTACTCTTGTTCATTGATCCTTTACTTTATCAAAGGAGCCCTCGTAGCATAGCGATTACGAGCTGGACTGCTAACCACAAGGCCAGCTGTTCAAATCTCCCAGCAGCTCCTCTGATGGAAGATGAGGCTTTCTGCTCCTGTAAAGATTAATAGCCTTGGAAACCCTATACAGGATCGCTATGAGTTAGAACTGACTCAATGACACACCACCAGCATCACTTACTTTACCAAACGTGATGTCCAGTCCAGGGGACTGGCCCCTCTTGGTAATATGTCCAAAGTATGTGAGAAGGCGGTCTCACAGCCTTCTTTTCTAAGGAACATTCTGGTTATTCTTCTTCTAAGATAGATTTGTTTGTTCTGCTATGGTATCTCGAAGGATCTTCACTGACACTGATTCAAAGGCATCAATTCTTCTTTGGTCTTAGTAAGCTGAGCAGGCATGGTGGACTAGACATTTCTGGGTTGCTGTTGAGGATGGGGACACTGATGTCTGGAGTGTAGATCTGACCCATAGAGTCAGTTGAGAATCATGTCAGCACCAGGTTGTCTTTTGTCTCCAAATCAAAGTATCTCTTTATTGCGTGACAACTTAGACCAGAGTTTTGATTGAGCCCAAATGTCCTAGGGAAATGTGAACACTCACTAGAAAATAGTGAACACGGGCTGATTGAAAACCATGGCAACCACTTCATTTCCAATTGCCTATTTAAAGATTGCCTACCGTAATCCCTGAAGAAATGAGACGTGTCTTGTTGGGCACAGAAGGGAGCTGCATTGGACATATTCCTAAGTGTCTTGTGATGAATAAAATAGGAAATAACTCATGTCTCTTGTTCCTCATGAGTGTGAAACATTGAAGGATGACTAGACCAAACCCTGTTCTTTTATTCCAGAAAAGTGGGTAGAAAAAGTTAGGTTTTCAAAGATATGTAGGCTAAAATCTGTGTATTGAAATAACTAAAAATTAAAAGAAGGAGATGCTCTTGGTTAGGATCCAAGATTAACCAAAGCAAAACAACATGTAGACGCTGAAAGAGGCTTGTTCCTCTGCCGTCTCCAGTGTATCTTGCCAAAGTCCAGCTGTTGGCCATCAACTTGGCTCTGACTCATAGGGACCTGAGGTGTGACAGAAAGAAAACACTGCTGGTCCTTCACCATCTTCATGGTTTTTTGAGTCATGTTGGAGTCCATTGGGTGGTGGTTCCATCAGTTATCTCCTAAGGGGTTTTCCTTCCACCTTCTGTTTCCAAGCATGAGTCCATTTAAAGCACCCTAGTGGTGTTTTAGAGCTCTGGACAACATTGCGAAGTATGAGTATTCCAGAACACTTAATTGTGCTCATGAGGAATCTGTACCTGGACCAAGTGGCAGTTGTTTGAACAGAACATGGGAACACTGAATGGTTTAAAATTAAGAAAGGTGTGCAACAAGGTTGCATTCTTTTACCATAGTTATTCAACCTGTATGCTGAGCAAATCATCTGAGAAGCTGGGTTCTATGAAGAAAAACGTGGCATCAGGAAGACTCATTAACAACCTTCAATAGGCAGATGAAACAACCTTGCTTGCTGAAAGTGAAGAGGACTTAAAACATTTACTCATGAAGATCAAAGAGCACAGCCTTCAGTATGGATTGCATCTCAATGTAAAGAAAATAAATATCCTCACTACTGGACGAATAAACAACATTCTTATCAATGGAGAAAAGATTGAAGTTGTCAAGGACTTTGTTCTTCTTGGATCAACTATCAACACTCATGGAAGCAGCAGTCAAGAAATCAACAGATATAATACATTAGGCAAATCTTCTGCACAATACCTTTTTAAAGTGTTGAAGAGCAAAGATGTCAGCTTGAGGACTGAGGTGAGCCTGACCCAAGCCATGGTATTTTCAGTAACCTCATATGCATGAGAAGGCTGGGCAGTGAATAAGGAATACCGTAGAAGAATTGATGCTTTTGAGTTATAGTGTTGGAGAATATTGAAAGTGCCATGGGCTTCCAAAAGAAGCAAGAAATCTGTTTTGGAAGAAGTGCAACCAGAGTGCTCCTTGGAGGCCAAGATGGCCAAATTTCATCTCTCATACTTCAGACATATTGTCAGGAGGCATCAGCGCTGGAAAAGGATATCATGTTTGATATGTTGGAGGGTCAGAGAAAAAGAGGAAGACCCCCAACAAGATGGACTGGCAAAGTGGCAGCATAAGTGGGCCCAAACGTGGCAACAGTACTGAGGTTGGCCCAGGATTGGGCAGTGTTTCGTTCTGCTGTGCATAAGTTCACTATGAGTTGGTACTGACTCGATGGCACCTAACAACAGCAACAAGTGGTGCTGTGGGTTAGGCATGAGTCTCCTAGCCTCATGGTTGGTAGGGCAAACTCACCAGCTCCTCCATGGAATGAAGATGGGGCAGTCTGTTCCTATTAAGATTTACAGTCTTGGAAACTGTATATATGGTCTCTGTGAGGAGGAATCAACTCAGTGGGAATGGGTTTGTTTTTTTTGTGTCTTGCCTTGATGATGGGCCAATGTCAGAAGTCTCACCACGTCGTGTGTCAGGAGCATTCTAGTTATATTTCTTCACAGACTGTCCACCTTGAATTCAGTATTGTTCATTAACACCAAGCTTTGAGAGGTGCCTGGTCTTCTCCACAATGTGTCTGATGTTAAATGTTGTTTGTGAGATGAAGAAGTAAAAGAGTAAGCCTTCTGGTAAAGGAAGCAAGATAAATGCATAGTCCGTTATACTTCTCAGTGCAAAATCTCCAAGATTTACCATCATGGATTTAGATAAATGGAGACCTTACTAGAGACAGTACAGCTTAGCTAGTTTGAGTTGGCGAAGTTAGGCAGACTCTGATGCTTACAAAGAGGACTTGATTCTTGGAAACATTCTCAGACTGTTTCCCTTCATCCTCCTCACCCTTCACATGCCTCATCACAAAAGCACCCAGTGTTCTCTCCTGGTCAGTGTCCACTCTGTCCCACCACCATGACACTGGGCATTATTCACTCCATCCCATCAACCTGGTCCATGCCAGTGTCCACTCTGTCCCAGCACCATGGCCCTGGCCAGTGTCCACATTATGAGGTGATTGTGCCTTCTGGAGAAGATAAAGCTTCTGTGACGTCAAGACATGAACTTGTTTTCTGAATGGAAAGGAAAAAGTATACTTACAATATAGAAAGGTGGTTTGAGAAGTAGACGAGCTCTGGGCTCTTAGGAGAAGATGAAATGGACTTGGAGGGGGCTTGGGGGAGTGTGGACACTCCTTTGATTGGTCAGGGAATAGACTCATGGTGCTGGTCAGTCCCAGATTCAGACTATAGTTCTGCTGCTCATCAGTTGTGTGACTTTGGAAAAGTCACATCACTTCTTCATGTCTCCGTTTCCTTCTCTTGAAACTGAAATAAAAGTTCCATTAAGGTCATTGTGAGGATTAACTGGAATAGCTCGTAAACCTTTAGCACAATGCTCAACCTATGCTAAAACATGTCGCCTTCTAGTAGATTCTGACTGCTAACATTCC